AAGGTTCCCCTTGGCATTGCGTCCAGTCGTGTCTGACTCTAGGGCGGTGGTTCTCATCTCTGTCTCCATGCTGTAGAGCCAGCGCTTGTCCATAGACTATCTTTCGTGGTCACGTGGCCAGCATGACTAGACACGGAACGCCGTGGTCTAGTCGTGGTTCCCACCATTGTGGTACCTATTTATCTACTTGCATTTTTACACGCTTTTGAACGGCTACGTTGGCAGGAGCTGGGACAAGCAACAGGAGCTCCCTCCATCGCATGGATTTGATCTTATGATGGCTGGTCTTCTGACCCGGCAGCACAGAGGCTTCTGCGGTTTAACCCGCAGCACCACCACGTCCCTCTATCCGCTTCGTACAGGGCCTCTTATAATCATCTAGAAGAATGGGTAAAGGTGAATGCTTTTCCCCACCCACCCCGGGGGCCTCCTGTTTCCGTCCTGATGCTAGCAGGCCCTTTCCTTTCTAAACAGGAAGCTTGGGTCGAGCTAGAAATAGCCAAACCTCGAAGCCTTTCAGCTAAGGCCTTTTCTCCCAGGGAAGCAGCACTTCCACGTCTGTCAGGTCTATAGACAAGACAGGTAGGTAGGACTCCCTGAATGGTGAACTATGGATACGTCATCTAAGAAATCCCTGCTATTTCCATCAAGAAAAGCAGTAAGGACATAGGGACATAAATGCACATGCAAAAGATCACAAATGGCTAAATTAATCTCCTCATCCCACCCAATGGGTAAAATATTTCGTGGCACTCCAGAAAAAGACAATGAAATAAGATCAAGAATGATATTTTGCACACATTTTAAAAGATGTGCAACTAATGGCATAATACAAATTTCACAGATTGCACAAAATCACAACGGCTTCTGCATTTTGTTGCGCAAGAGTTCTAAAGAGTGGAAACATTAAACAGATTGTTTGCCTGCTTCTTAACCATTAGGCAGCCTTTTCGTGCCTGGTGTGTGCAGATGTGCATGCGCGCGCGCACACACACACACACACACACACAGAGGTACTTTGCTCCTCAAAGTTTTGTGCAGGACAATTTATGTAAACGACCTTGACAAGGAAAAACAGAGTTCTTTCCCTTGCATCAATTCTTTAAAAAAAAAAAACTTCCAGTTTATGAATGTGGGATATTGTGTTTCTGTGCCCACAATTCAAAAACCCAGGAAATGGCCCAATGCTACTACACAATATCATACCCACGTTGCCAGGAGGAAAAAGGAGGCCAAGCTTTACCTAGCCAAGGGCAGCCTGGAGGTGGACGATGGCCATAGCCGCCGGCCAGAGGGTCTACACCATCTTGATTCCCTTATGCGACAAAAATGGCACATGGATATTTTCTGAAGCATTCTTTCCACCTGCATCTGGGATGCATGCCTCTCCCTCCGCCTCTCCCTCCTGGGAGTAAAGACTTACTTAGGGACCTTACATCACTTACGTCGTTTTGGACCGGCCTGTGGTTCCTCCACCCGGTAGACAGAGATCCGGTTGATGCCTCCACAAAGGGTCCCTTTCTCGCCTTTGCATTCATTGTTACACTCTTCTTCCTTGGCCGCCGTCACGGGCAGCTTGTTTCCGCAGTAGCATTCCGCTCCAGATTCCAAGCCAGCGTAGGTATAAGCTCTGGAGGGGGAAAACCCACCGAAAAAGAAGAAGAACAAGAAAAGAAAAGAAAAAAGTGAGCTAAGACATTCAGGCTACGTATTATGCACAATGGTTTGAAAAAAGTGAGCTAAGACATTCAGGCTACGCATTATGCACAACGGTTTGAAAGAGAATGGCTGGCCCCACTTGCGTTTTTGGTTTGTAAAGAAGCCAGCCTGCAGCAAGAGAATGGTTGGCCCCACTTGCTTTTTTGGTTTCTAAAGAAACCAGCCTGCAGGGACTGAAATATTAGGGTAACTTCCGGCCACATACACAAGGGGCCGTGCAATAATATAAACTAGACAAGAGTTTAACCAACACCTTCAAGTCACTGCGGCCCCAAATGCTTTTTTGGGAATACCCTTTATGCATGCATTGAGCGGCACATTTTGCTTCATGTATGCGTCCCTCCTATTGACTGAAGAGAAGTTGCGTGTCGGCGGGGAGGGGTTCCCAGTTGTACAGATTTTAAAATGGGAGCACGCCATTGAGCAAATGTTGCTTCACTGACAGACCCCATGCGTCTTTGCAGAGCTGTGTGAACTCTTGCAAGAAGGTGCTTCTTTTCTTGCAATAATGAGGGTACAAATGTGCTACTTTTCACTGAGATGGTCAAAATCCCTTTTGACACACAGGGCCCTCTGGTGGCCTGCAGGAAGCAATGGAACTCCCTGCCACTGGAGGCTCGATTGATCGCCCTCCCTGTTACCTTCGGCCAAGAGACAAAAGACCTTTCAATTCTCAGAAGCAGTTTTCAGCCAATTGACCGGCTGCTGTTGGAGACACCCGTTCTCCCAACAGAAAATCACATTGCCTGTGCACAGTCCTGTACCGTGGCCACCCTAACGCCATTAATGAGCTGAACTGGACTTCACGCTCTTAGCAAAATCATGAATCTTAGCACAAGCCTTTGCAGCAGGTTATCACTTTACTCTTCGTCTTCCTCCTCCTCTTCAGGCCTGGCTTCCTTCTTGGAACTTGCTGGCCTACCTTGGGTGGTCAGACGTTCAGCAAAAGGAGAACATGTCCTCCTTTTTAGCCTAATGTCCTCCGTCCGGCAGGCAAAGATAAAAACCTTTAAAATGTCAGGCTTTGTATATTCCATGTTATAATTTTGGATGGGAGGGGGAGAGGTGGAAGGACCCCCCCCATCCCTCCATTACCCCCGTTACCCTCACCCCCTCGCACCGGTGCCACGGCTGCTCGGCGATCCGCCATGCCTGCCCAGCCCATGTAGAGCCCAGAAACGCAGTGCGAGCGGAGCACCGCCTGGCGAGCCTGGCAGGAGCAAGCAGCGCCCAAGCGCATCACTGGGAAGGCGAGCACCTGGACTGTGTGTGTTCAAAGTCCCTTTCGGGGACTCCAACTCCCACACTCCCCAGCCTGGAACTAATGACCCTCAGGGGAGGGGAGGCTGCCTCATTCGGTTTTGCCCGGCACCGCTTTCCCCCTGCCTGCGTCGGAGCCTTCTTTGGGCGTCGAGATTAGCAAGGTTGCCTCTGAGCCTGTGCAGAGTGCGAGCGGCCGGGGGATCCCACAGCAGGGCCGGGGTGGTTCGGGTACAACTGGATGTTTAAATAATGTTTTTTGGTACTTTGAAAAAAAAGCCTCCATTGAATTTTTTATTTTATTTTTTAACGTGACTGTTTCTTGGTCGGTTCACTAAGAGACATTTATTGGCAGCTATTGTAATAAAACTGTATTCCGGGTTTAATCCAGAACGATTCAAATGAAATATTCAATACTTCCTCCTCTGTCCTCTTTTTTTGTCTTTCTATGTCCTCCTTTTGGTACCCATGCATCTGGCAACCCTAAGCCTACCAGGAACTTTGGCACACCTGGAAGAAAGGCCTAAATCGCAAAGCTTTGAGGCCAAGCAAGGCCGAGCTTCTGTCTCGCTTCCTGTTCAGAAAGAAAGCTCCCAGCTAGCCCTGGGGCAAGCACCAGACGCTTGGGAGGAGCGAGGCGATGCTCAGCCTTCCAGTTAAGGCTCATCCCCTAAGGGAAATTACACAATGGTGCTTGCAAATTGCCTGCCAAGTAGGTAGAACTCCCAGAATGAAGAATTATGGAATTTGCAATCCATAAAATCCAAAAACGCCACCCCTAATATAAACTTCGACTTCTCCTTGCACACAAGGAAAGGCAAAGTTTTTTCTCTCTCAAGCTAGAATGGCAAAGAACTTCCATTGGGGTTCTTGATTAGTTAGAATAATGTTCGGTGTCAACATGCCCAGCCTTCACAATTGAAGAATTGGTTCCAAACCAGGCATTTCAAACACTGCCTGGATTATTTGTGTCTTTCTTAACCATAATCCAGTCTCTCTCTCTCTCTCTCTCTCTCTGTGTACGTCACTTCTCAAAAGGAAAAACACACACAGCTGTTTTATTTATTTATCATTTTATTTATTTTAAAAATGTTTACCCTGCCTTTGTCCTTAAAAAGAACCGGAGGTACAACTACAATGTTTTATTTATTTATCATTTTATTTATTTATTCTTTAAAAAGAACCCAAGGTACAACTACACAGACTTTGAGGAGAGAGAATGAGATCTTTTGTCTTTAAAATTCCTCTCCGAAGTATGCCATCATGCCACAACAGTCTAAACAACGAAGAACACAGCAAATAATTTTTCCATCTCCACTTTACAGCACTGCAAGATTCGCTCACTTTCGCCCGGAAAGAAACAGACTGATTCAGCGACTGCCGGGAGCTTCCTGGTGAGGTGTTTGTTTTCTCACATCAACCCTTCCTGTGTTTTAGGCACCGTTCTAAAAATATAGCTCAGGCAGTGACCCTCAGCTCACTCCCGCTTCAGCTCCAACACGGGTTTGTCTACAAGAATATAAACCTGGAACAGTTTGTTTGGCTTCTCTTTCGATTATCATGCGTTTCCTGCAAAATCGCTGCCCTGGGGTTTAGAGCTGACATCTTCTCTTCCTCCCTGTTGGCAGAGGTGTGGAGGCCCGGAGCAAGATTCACTGGCCTCAAAATTAAGACAAATTCAGAGAGACATCCCAATTTGCCTCGGGAGAGGAGAGGCTTCGTGGGAAAGAAAAGAGCCAGAAAGAAGTGTTGCAGCGATAGCAGAAAACCTGCTTTGCATGCAAAAGAGGATCGCTTCGGTCTCTAGCCCTTCCAGCAAAAAGCAACAGTTCATGGGACCAGCCCCTCCTTGCTGGCCTCAATCTCCCCTTCCTTAATGGAGACAGGTACATCGTGTTCCCCACATTGCATCTGGGGGTGCTCCCATTTGAGGAGCTTGGGACTGTTTCCAGCGGGCATTCAGCTGGACAGACGGGTGGTGAGCACAGGTTGCGTTTCAGACCTGTTCCCACTTTGAGCAGTAGCGAAGCACCATGAAAAAAATGGGCTGCAAATGTCAACCCGAAACCAGCAGCGCACCCCGGAATCGAGGCTGTCGAAGCTCAGCTGGGAAAAACTGGGAAAAGCCACAAAAGCAGGACAGAAATCCTGGGTTGGAATGGGCTGGGGGGGGGGCTGCTT